GGAGGCGGGCGAGGAGGAGGAGGGGGGGAGAGGGAGGAGCAGGAAGAGGATGGGGCGAGGAGAAGCAGGGGAGGGGAGGGGAGGGAGAAGAGGGGAGGGGAGTGGCACTGGGGGGAGGGATGAGCCGCCGCCGCGCGTCACAGCCGCGCCTCGCCCGGCCGCGCCCCGCCGCTGGCGTCCAGCTCGTCGAGGCGTCGCCGCTCCTCCCCGGTGCGGCCGCTCCGGGCACAGGGGGCGACGCGGGGGAGGGACTGGAAGGCTGATCGTCAGCCGACCTGGAGAATGGGAAGGAACAAATTGGGAGCGGCCAAGAGGGGGGTGTCCAAGAGGGGGGGTGCAAATCATGACTGGCGGCATGTGCGCGGCCCAGCGGGGGGGGCCAGAGACGTAATGGAATAAGAAGAGGCGCCATGATATCTGGGGAAATATCATGGCCCCCGCCATGATATCCACCCTCACCTAGTCATCACCCCCCTCTTTTCCGCCCCCGAACAAAGAGAAGGAGGAGGGGGGGCGCTGTTGCTGCGTTGCTGCCTTGCTGGTGTTTGGGCACTGTTGCTGCACATGGAGGAGGGAGGAGAGGGAGGGCACTGTTGCTGCGTTGCTTCGTTTGGACCCAGCACGGAGGGGGGCTGAACTGGACTGAAGATGAAGGTTAGGTCGGGCATGTCCCCCTGCAGGGGGATTCTGGACGATTTTTCTTGATACCCTTAGAATAATCAAACATTTCTAAAAAAACTCAAAGATGGTCCCCAGACTATGCTTAAACTACTTCTAAACATTCCTTCTATAGAGGGACAGGCCTGCCTTAAGATAAAGGCTCATCGTCAGCCGACCTCCTGGATGATGGGAAGGAACAAAGAAGAGTTCACATGGAGGGGGGAGGGGAGGGAGGGCACTGTGGCTTGGTTTGGAGCCCGCACGACGGGAACACTCGAAGATGCCCCGAGACGAGGATGCGAAGAGGGGACGGAGACCGCACGATCCACCCGACGTTCAGGAAAGGGAGCCGCGCCCTGCGCTGCTGCAGGCGCAGCGCGGCCTCGCACTCCCCGGACGGGAGGGCGCTGGCGGCGAGCTCCGGCTGCTCGCAACCTTCCGTGGCGCTCCTCCCGGCTTTCCCGCGTGCGCCCAGTACATCGAAGGGCTCCGGGTGGCGCACCCCGTCCCCCGTGGGAGCGGCCACCGCCTCTGGCGCTGTGCTGGTCTTGGGATGGGGGCGGGGGTCGCCCGCTCCCTTTTTGCAGGGCGCGGCGGCTGGCCAGGCACGCGGCTGCGCAGGAGATGCAGGTGCATCTGCAGAGCCATCGGCGGCGCGGGGGCGCAGGCAGCCAAGCTGAGAGTAGCTCAGGGACTGCACTGCGGCGAGCGCGAGGGCAGTCAGCCACGCGCAGAGTGTGGCCTGGGGGAGGGGGGGGAGGCTTCTTAGAAGCACCCCTGCTCCTTAGAAGGCGCGGGCCTTGTCTGCATGTCGAAGGCCCGCGCCTTCTAAGAAGCAGCCTCATTCTGAGAAGCCTCCCCCCTTCCCCCATACCCCCCTCTGCGCGTGGCCGAGGCAGAGAGGGCGCTCGGCTCCCAACGCACCCCGACAATGGTTACGATCACGGCCCGCCGTCCCATCACCAGGAGATCATTTTTTTATTCCGGCCGGTAACGCTCGTTACCCGGGGGGGGGGGTCGTGCCCCCCGGGTAACGGTAACGCTTGGGCTGGGCGGGGTATGGCGAAGCAGGGGCGCTCTGCGATCGCCATAGTATGCGCGCGAGCAGCACTCTCTGCCTGAGAGCACCACAGTGGCTTGCGATTCGAGTACAAGCGCAAAGCCCGCCGCGTGGTCCCGGCACCACGCCCGCGCCCGCGCGCGCGACGACGATGATCGACGAGCGACGAGCGACGAGGTCGACGACGACGACGACGACGTTTGCCGCCTGTTTCGGCCTCCGGAGGCCGTTTTCGGGCGCCGTCGACGACGACGACGACGACGACGACGACGACGACGACGACGACGACGATTCGAGTACAAGCGCAAAGCCCGCAAGCACCAGCATCGCGCATGCGAGCGCCGCAATGGCCTGCGAGCGCCCACAGTGCGCCTGCGACCACCACACCACAGTGCGCATGCCTTCGGGCACCAGCATGTTGGAGGGGAAGACCGAGACCCCCCCCGCGTACGAGCGTTACCGTTACGGGGGGGGGGGGGGGGGAGAGGCCCGGGTAACGAGCGTTACCCCCCAGAGGATAAAAAAAACAATCTCCAGCTGAGGGGAGGAGAGCCAGAGCAGCGGCGGCAGGGAGGGCGGGAGGAGGGGAGGCGGAGGGAGGGGGGAGGGGGGAGGGACGGAAGGAGCGGGAAGGGAGGCGAGGATTCGTGTTGCCGTTCCGTTCCCGCCCCACTCTCCGCTGTCTTGGCACGGCTCTATAGTTACTGCCGAGCCCGTCTTGGACTCATGCGCATCCACCGCCTCCCTGTGTACACGAAGACCGGTGGCCTAGGTGGATATGGATACATCCCGGCCTCGGATGCCTGATCGTGGAAAGACCGAGACCAGCGCGACGCCACAACTACAGTAAAGACACGAGCCGAAGGAACGCTGAGCAGCAACGAAACCCATGCGCGACCAACAATCGGCGGTGGACAAACCTCCCTTTAGTAGACCTCCCCTCAGTGAAAAAAGCCTGGGACCGAAATCGACGGACCTGGACCCGCAAAAATGACGGCCGCGACGCCCTCTCGCGAACCGAAAACGGCCAATTCCTTAATCGACGTGTCAGGGTAGGAGGTCTGTCCAACCCCGAAACAAGAAATCGCTTGCGTGCACGAGGAAGCGCTGGAGGAGCAGCCGGGGAGTCCCCATGAGGAGCAGCGGGGCCCTGCCGAACACGAGCTTCCCCTAATTTCAGCGTCTTGGCTGTATGGAGGGAGGAGGGCGAGGAGGGAGGGAGCGACGATTACACAGGGAGGGAGGGAAGGAGGGAAGGAGGGAGGGAGGAGGGCGAGGAGGCCGAGGAGGGAGGGAGCGACGATTACCCAGGGAGGGAGGGAAGGAGGGAAGGAGGGAGGGAGGAGGGCGAGGAGGCCGAGGAGGGCGGGGAGGGAGGAGGGCGAGGAGGAGGGCAGGGTCCCCAAACCGACTGTCGGTGCAACACTACCTTCGAAACGTTTTCGCCTACATGATTGGCCGTCCCTCCGTGCGGAGAACCAGAACTCGCGCACCGTTCTTACACCCAAAAGACTGATGCTGGTAGCGGGACTTTTGACCAGACATTGGAATATCGGAATCGCGCGCGCAATCAAGCGACACGCACAGGCACGCACGCGCGCACGCGCATGCGCACGCGCACGCGCTCAGGATGGAGCCCCCTTTCTCGGTCACAGGCCCTCGCTCCGGCTCGGTGTCGGGCTTGCGCTCGGGCTCGGGCTCGCGACATCGCCAGGGCCTGCGCACGCCCGCGCGCACGTACACGCGAACTAGTACGAACACGTGCACGCTCACTCACACGCGCACTCTCACGCACACGCGAACGCTGACGCACACGCGCACGCGCACGCACGCGCGCGCACGCTCACGCACTGCCTTCGTTTGAGCGGCGCGTGAGTACAATGCTATGACTTCCCGCCCTATCTATATGGTTGAAGCTCTGAGGGGAGTGAGGCTTTACCGTCCATGTTGTACGTTGGAAAATGGTTCATGTGGCATACGCCGACAATGAGGAAGGGTTACAGCACCTATGGTTTACGAAAGGCACATGGTTCCAGCAGCCCACGACGTGGGTTCCAACAACCAATGTCGACGCAGGAACGTTGCTCCAGAAGTTTATGCGGACAAGAAGAAGGGTGGGCTGTCGTCTGACATGGACATTGCAGCTCGAGCGACCCACGACCTAGCCAAAAAAACCCTCACAGCCCGTCTAACAATGACTAGCAATATATTTTAACATGAATGGCCGGTCGGGTGAACATGGCTGGTGGTGGGATTTTCGGCTGCGTGTGAACATCCAAGAAGCGCACACGCAATCACCCGCACACGCACATGCGCGTGCATGCGCACGCCCACTGAAGGAGCCCTGGGACACACAAATGAATACACACACAAATAAACTGATTCCCCATATTTCCCAATCTTTTCTACGCTTCTGTCTTCCCCCCACTTCCCATGTTTTCGCAGATCTTCTGGGAATCGACGAATCATTGTGTCTGTGGGTTTTTTCCCCTCCTGACTCACACGCACGCGCTCAGGATGAGGCTCGGGCTCGGTCTCGACCTCGCGCTCGGGTTCGCGCCGGGGCCGGCGCCCGCGCGCCCGCACACGCACGCACGAGCACGCTCACGCACGTGCGCGCGCTCGTGCGCGCACGCACGCGCACGCACTGCCCCCGTCTGAGGGCGGCGCGTGACCACAGTGCTAGGACAACCACCCCTGGGCCCCGCCCCACCCCCTCCCCCCAACCTGCCAACATGTTCAAAATCCCAAGTGAGGCTCCGACGCGAAGCCAACTCGAGAGAAAGCGGCTCCGGCGGCGCAAGCCGACAAGAAGGATGGGCTCCAGCACCTATTTTGTACAAGGGGCAATGTTTCCAACAGCACGCGTCGAGGACTCCAGCATCCAATTCTGACGAGGCACAGTGAATTCATATCGACAAGAAGTGTGACCTGTCGTATGGGAGGGCTGTAAGAGCGAACCGCGCACCAGCCACGAACCCGCCTACAGTCGGTGTAAAAGTTCACCACCAAAACCCCACGGAGTTCAATGCATAGCCCGACTCCGACAACGCTTGCTAACAGTGGAGATGTAGGATGAATACGAGGGGGAGAAGAGAAGAATGAGACAAACTGGATGAAGACGTGGGAAGCGAGCCTCCCTCCTCCTCCTCCTCCTCCTCCTCCTCATGCTAGACATCATCCTCCGATTCTCCTCCAATCCACCGACAATCCGTCTCCCCCGCATCCTCCTCCTCTTCTCCTATCTCCTCCTTCTCCTAGATGGCTTGCCTCTCATGCCTTCCTTCCCTCGAACATGCTCACTGCAATCAAGCTTCGGCCAGGAGCTAAAGTTCGGATGTGATCTTTCTGTGCAAAGGCGGCCTTTCCCACAAGGTCCCCACTTCGTCAACGCCCCCTCTTCTCAATATTTTCCTCTCCGTCATCCTCATCATCCTCCCTCCTCCCCCGTGCATCTTCCTCCCCCTCGTCGTCCCCCTCTCTCCCAAGACATGCCACGTCTTGAATTGTTCGTAAATGGCATCACCAAAAATCTGGACCCCTTCGTAGGAAACGGCTTTGAATCCTGACTCATGTTGGACTGTCTCAGGGAAGAGCAAGGGCCACCAGAGGCCCAAACATTGTCAAACACCTCCCGTCGTCATTTGTTCGAGATGCGAGGATGTCAGAGGGGATTCCTCCTCCCCCTACCTCTTCACAATTATACCATATGGATGATACCCTCCTCTCTCCCCTGATGACGTCCGGAAGATATCCGGCCAACCTCCGCGTTTTCTTTTCCACACAGGATTCCCAGGAACTGGGTTTTCGCTTGAATTGTTCAGTTCAAAATGTTGGCCCTGCTGAAGCGCTGGCCTCCTTTTCGGGCTTCCGCTCATTCCGAAATGTGCTCCCGCTGCAGCGCTGGACTCATTTCCGCGCTCCTGCTCGTTCAGAATCGTGCTCCCGCTGCAGCGCTGGCGTTATTCCCCATATCCTAAGATGGGGTTCTTGTTATTACTTGGACGCCTCCTACTCCTCCTCCTCCCTCCTCCTCTTTTCTCCTCCCCTCCTGTCGGACTTACTCATACACAGACTTACTCATACTCAGATTTACTCATACTCAGACCTACTCATACTCAGACTGACTCACACTCAGACATACTCATACACAGACTTACTCATACACAGACTTACTCACACCCAGACGTACTCATACACAGACTCACTCATACCCAGACTTACTCATACACAGTATTAGTCATACTCAGACTTACTCATACCCAGACGTACACATACACAGACTTTCTCATACACAGACCTACTCATACCCAGACTTACTCATACACAGACTTACTCATACACAGACTTACTCATACTCAGGCATACTCATACTCAGACCTACTCATACTCAGACTTACTCAACACACATCAGATTTGGAGGATGTCTCAGGCGGGGCGCTCGTTTCAGCACCCCTAAGGGGAGCCGCCAGGGGTGATTGCACGGGTTCGTTCGCGGCCATTTTGTGGGGATGTCTCAGGCGGTTTGCCTGTTTCTGGGCTCAACATCCTTCGCTTTCGGAGCAGATTTGGAGGATGTCTCGAGCGAGGCGCTCATTTTCACCCCCCAGGTGGGCCAGATTTTGAGGATGTCTCGATCGGTTTGCTTGTTTTGGTGGCCAGGCTCGTGGCCCTAAGGGGAGCCGCCAGGGGTGATTGCACGGGTTCGTTCGCGGCCATTTTGTGGGGATGTCTCAGGCGGTTTGCTTGTTTCTGGGCTCAACATCCTTCGCTGTCGGAGCAGATTTGGAGGATGTCTCGAGCGAGGCGCTCATTTTCACACCCCAGGTGGGCCAGATGTTGAGGATGCCTCGATCGGTTTGCTTGTTTTGGTGGCCAGGCTCGTGGCCCTAAGGGGGGCCGCCAGGGGTGGTTGCACGGGCTCGTTCGCGGCCATTTTGTGGGGATGTCTCAGGCGGTTTGCTTGTTTCTGGGCTCAACATCCTTCGCTTTCGGAGCAGATTTGGAGGATGTCTCGAGCGAGGCGCTCATTTTCACCCCCCAGGTGGGCCAGATTTTGAGGATGTCTCGATCGGTTTGCTTGTTTTGGTGGCCAGGCTCGTGGCCCTAAGGGGAGCCGCCAGGGGTGGTTGCACGGGCTCGTTCGCGGCCATTTTGTGGGGATGTCTCAGGCGGTTTGCTTGTTTCTGGGCTCAACATCCTTCGCTTTCGGAGCAGATTTGGAGGATGTCTCGAGCGAGGCGCTCATTTTCACCCCCCAGGTGGGCCAGATTTTGAGGATGTCTCGATCGGTTTGCTTGTTTTGGTGGCCAGGCTCGTGGGCGCAGATTCTTCTCAGGATGCCACAGGAGGCTCCAACAGGCTCCAGGAGGCCCAGGAGACCACATGAGGTCCCAGGAGGCATCAGGAGGCCACAGAAAGACTCAAGAGGCCACAGGATGTCCCAAGAGGCTCCAGGAGGCCCCAGGAAGCTCCAGAAGGCTTCAGGAAACCACAGGAGGCCCCAGGAGGCAACAGGAAGCGCCAGGAGGCCTCGGAAGGCAACAGGAGGCCCCGAGAGGCCCCAGGAGCAGGAGGCCTCAGAAGGCAACAGGAGTGGCTCCAATCCCATGTGTTTTACGTATGCTCCTATCGATTGGGCCTCACCTGGAGCACGATTCTTTGATGTTCTACGTATGTTTCTATAGATGGTCCTTCTCCTGTGTACACAATCCTAAATGTTTTACTCATGTTCCTATATATTGGGCCTCTCCTGGGGCACGAGTCCTTGGTGTTTTACGCGTGTTCCTATAGATTGCCCTTCTCCTGTGGCTCTAATCCGCAATGTTTTATGTACGTCTGTTGCTATAGATTGCGCCTCTCCTGGGGCACGAAACCTTCCTAGGAGGTCCCAGGAGGTCCCAAGAGGCTCCTGGAGACCCCAGGAAGCCCCAGTAGGTTTCAGGAGGCCCCAGGAGGCCCCAGGCTCATGCACAGAGACGCGCTCGTACTACTGAGGCTCATTCACACTCCAATTCATTCGCAGTTAGATTGATGTCCAGACCGTCACAACTGAAGCCCGTTAATATTCGAAAGCTCTTGCGCCTAGACATTCACGGCGGACAGGTCCATGCGAGTAGATGCACATATGGGGAGCTCCACGCAGTGAATAATTATTTAATCGCTTCGCTCATTCTGCCAGCCCTGGAGCGCTATTTGGGGCCTCTTGGGGCCGTCTTGGGGGCCTCTTGGGGGCTTCTTGGGAGCGTCTTGGGGCTCCTTGGCGGCGTCTTGGGCTCCCCTGGGGCCTCTTAGGGGGCTCTTGGGGGCTCGGGCGGGAGGGGGGTAGTGGATTGCAGCCACCCCCTCGGAGGCCACGATCCTCGTGAGGGGTGGCGAAAAATAGCCTCCCCCTGGGGATCGCCCGGGACCCGGCCGGGACCCAGCCGGGGATCGGCCGGGGTACTTTTCGTCCGGGGGTCCCCAGGGGCCGCCCCGCGCGCGCGAACTAGAAATATTGTTAAGTAGTTACCGGAGATCTTAGCACGCCTCTGGGCCGTTGGACCGGCGAATTTCCAGTGCCATGCCACGGCATAGTTCCCGGTCCTTCCAAGTAGGCCACGAAATCTAGAAAATGCCCCCCCCGAACAAAAACATCGGAAGTGTTTGCACAGTCGGTGTCGATTCGTTATTTCTTGGGGGGCCGCAGAAGCCCCCCCCCACACTTTGGGTCGTCGCCACGCCATGCTATGTCATGCTACGCGTTGATATTCAACGCCATGCTATGCCATGTAATGCTACGCCATGCTACGACATCCGGCCACGCCATGGTAGGGATGGGAGGAAGGGTAAGACATTAGATATATGACGCGAGCGCACCTATCGGGCCGGGCGAAAAGGAGGGATATCAAATAGGGGGGTTTGAGAATCAACTCAAGTAGCTGATTTTCCCGGCGCCTCCCGGCGCCGGGAGGCGGCCATGTATGGGCCGAAACCAGCTGCATGCAGCAGATTTCGTAACCCCCCCTTTCCCTATCCCCCCCCTTTCGTCCGGCCCGAATCCAGGTTATCCCCTCCCCTCCCTCCTCTCCCTCCTCCTCCGAGGGAGCCAGCCGGATCCTGCACCAGAGCCGCCCGCGCCTCTGCCCCGTCGAAGAGGCCTCGCGCGGGGGAGGCGAAGAGCGAGAAGATCGCAGCGCATCGGCGAGGTCGGGATGGGTCCAGCTCCGCGACATGTTCGGGGACTCGTCCTCAGATCAATTGATTCGGTTATGTCGGAAGGCAACTTCTGGGAGGTCTTCGTAAGAATGATTACGGGCTGTTCAAACCAATTGAGGGGCCGTTAAGCAGCCAGATCAACCCGTGTTCCGCCCAATATTGAGCTGAACTATGCAAGACTAAGCGGGATCAAGCATCATCATGTTTCGATATGTTTTCGACCATGGATACGAGCAGCCCCGATTCTGAATTTAACCCTCAGGGGTGAATCCAGCTTCGCAGAATGGTCAGGGGTGGCAACTCACGGGAGGCTTCTGTGTCATCTTGCTGCCTCTTGCGAACCGACGCTACTCGACGCTAATTGGGGCTACATCGGCACGAATCGTTGCTAAATCGGCGCCTTCTCGTCGATTACCAAACGCTACCGCACGCTAAGGCGAAATTCCAAGGGCATACAAGGCTCCCATGAAAGGACGGGCAACAGACCCAACGACGTCATGATTTGTCCACAACGTGGACCCCCGAAGGTCTCGACACATTCCCTGGGACATCCAGCTGATCCTCGCTAGTCGTTGTTTGACTGTCCTGGGGCCAAGCGAGGGCTCCTGGAGCCCGAAAATATTGGGAAACATTCCGCCGTAACCTGTTCGCAACGCGAGGGGCTGACGCGTCAGTCGGAAGAAGAAGTAGTAACATGAGGTAGGGAGGCGTCGGAAGCTGCTTGGGTTTCCGCCCAGCCCCCGAAGATGAGAACAGAGGGAAGACCGCCAGACACTTGAAGGGAGAAGGCACCTAAGAAAGGCTGGGATCTGGATGTCTAAAAACACGTGCTTTCAACGACCAGCGTGTAATGTTAGATCGGGCATGCCTTCCTACGGAATTTGGAAGAAAGAGCAGAACAGTCAACACACAGTCGAACATTGTCGAGAGAGCCCAAAAAATCGTCACCTGACTATGTTTCTACTATCCTTGGCAAGTCTTCCTGTAGAGGGACCTGCCCGACTAAAACGTAAACGGGGGCGACCCATGGAGGGCGAGAAACAACCACCCGCCGTGTCCCCTTTTGGGCCCCAGCGGTCCTAG